GGTGTCTGGAGCATTGACAGCTTTTGGCATCGGGGGCCAGGGCGTGTCGCCGCGTTGCGTCAGCCGGCCACATTCAAGGAATTCTTATCTTTGTGCTCTGGGAAAATAGGTCACGACGCTGCCGCCTTTTCAATTGAGCATCGCGTTGTAACGTTCACGTGGAAATGTACTTTTTGGCTGCCGACCAAGAGAGCAATTCTCGGCCTAGCAGACTTGTACCTTCAGTGTCAACACACGCACACACACACACACACACACAACAACAAAAAATCCCTACTACGGTAACTAAGCTTATTAAGTGGCACGCATTTTGCTGACGTCTGGCATCTATTTCCGGACAATGGGGGCATTTTAAAATGGTTCTTTATTTTTTATTTTTTTGCAGGAGTTCGAGCTTATTAAGTGGCACGCATTTTGCTGACGTCTGGTATCTATTTCCGGACAATGGGGAAATTTTAAAATGGTTCTTTATTTATTTATTTTTTTTGCAGGAGTTCCACTTGAAGTCCAGGCGAGTTGAAAAAGGCTCTGGGCTCCGGCGAGGACGTTGCTATTCTTAGAAGCCATTTGACGCAGCGAGCCGCCACACCGCAGGGATTTCTCCGTCCAATAATTGTGGTTCTCGCGCCAGACTCGCCGCTCGGTATCCCCGCCCCGCCCCGCCTCGCCTGGTGGGCTCGGGAACAAGGACGTCTCCCTGGAAACCGGACACTTTTGATGTCAGCGGCTAATCCGCGAGCCGCCAGCGGGGAACTCGTCGCTGATGGTGGGGATGCTTTAAATAGCGCCGTACCCGCCGACGCTTTGAAACGCCATCGTAAGCACTTCGGAGGTCGGAAATCGGCGCTGGCTGGGATTTTGCTGCGTGAAGCGACTGATTTCTAGGAGATGGAGAAAATGTCAGAGACCCAGATGGAGTTAATATTTAACAGGCTTTTTATCTTACGCCACACAGGCAGCGACATGCACTGACCTGATGAACCGCGGGTTAAAAAAAAAAAAAAGCTTGGCGGCAGGAGGCCCAATGAGATTAGTGACGAAATGAAAATATTGATCAATGGAAAACGCTCAAATAGTAAAAAGTGTCAATAGGATTTTTGGGGGGTCAAGGGTTTATTCCATTCAACTCCCTTTGAGCTGTGCTGTTTGGTTTGACCCGCTGTCACATTTCGCCGTTTGAAATGAAAATCTGGGGGAGAATAAAAATAAAATGTCCAATTCTTTTTGTTTGTGTTTTTTTTTTTTTGTGATGGATGTGTTTGAAAATCTAGAATATCAAACATTCTTCTGGCATCATTTTCAAAATATATTTGGGCAAAAAAGAAATCTGAATTTGCACTGTGTTAAATCCTTGCGTGATCAAACACGGGAGTGGATCACACCGACCCGTCAACATTGTTCAGGGATGAACAGAACAGGAGGGTCAAATGAAGTTGCCAAAGAACACATTTTGAAGGAAAGTGAAGCGAAACCAAATTCATATACTTAATCTTGAATCTCGACCGTGATTGCGACGGGGATGGGGGGAGTGACACGCAGAAATCTTTCGAAATGTTCTTGTGGCGTTGACGTTGCAGAAGTAGCTCCCACAAAGGAGCGACCTTGCCGGCGTGTTGACAAATGAGACGCGTCGGGCCCCAAGTGCGTGCGGGGCGGCGTTTGCAGCGTTTGTCCACTTGGTGTCGCCCTCCTCGCGTTGCCTTCTAATTGTGGTAGTGATGGCCAAACAAACCGGCAGATGGGGTTGGCGCTGCACTGATGGCTTTTATGGCACACGTAGTCCTTCCCGACGCGTATCTTGACTCCAAACACTTCTCGTTGCTCTTGTCCCAGTTGAGCCGCAAACCGCTCAGCACAGACGCTTTTTTCGCCGCCTGTTTTGGAACGTGTTGGAGCCATGACATTTTAATGAAATGATCATTTCCGAAAAACAATAAAGTTTGGACGTGGAAGATCTTGTCCTTGTAGTGCAATTCAACGAAATATAGGTTGAACGTTTTGCAATTCATTGTATCCTGTTTTTATTGATGCTTGACGCAAAATCCCAACGTCACTGGAATTGGGTTGGTGCCATTCAAAAATCTGAGAGACGTGAGAGCGCGAAAGGTGACCGGGGAAATGGGACGCCTGTTGTGTTTGTTTTTTGTTTGTTTGTTGTCTGTCTTGACGTTTTCGACATCGCCGCAGTGTACAGAGAGTCGCTCGCTGACCGGGCTTCGCTCTCGGGTGGCAGAATGTGACGTGTGCGTGCAGTTCCCCCCTTCGACCCGACGGGGCCGCTGCAGCATTGTGCAAACTGGAATCCCGTGGCCGAAGAAGAAATTCGTGAAGCGGACGAGCTGGCAGCGGCTGGTTGGACGCTCGCAGAAACGCTCCGCCATGGCTCGGTTCACGGCGCTCCTGCTCTTACCGCTTCTCGTCGAACTGGCGTCCACCATCTCCTTCTTCCTGCCGGTCAACTCGAGGAAGTGCCTGCGGGAGGAGATCCACAAGGACGTCCTGGTCACCGGGGAGTACGAGATAAGCGAGCAGGCCAACACCAAAACCAACCTGAAGGTGAGAGCCCCGAAGGAGCCGGCTAACACGAAGGCCACGCGTCGACGGAAGCTTCTTCCGTCATCTCGCGGCGAGCACCTCTTAGAAACACCGCAGTTACGTTTCGACGTATCGCCTTGCTGCCAACGGGGCTGACTTAACTGGCGGGCAGATAACCTTCCTGGTTGGAAATCGGCTAACGAGTGCCAGCGAACTGACTTCCACCGCCACTTTGACTTCACACTGGCTTCGCGAGACGCGCTTTTTGTATGCTAATATTCCCGACGCGGAGCTCGCGTCCGGGGGAAGTAAGGTTTGTTTTTTTGGCTCTTCCACGTCACTCTTAACGTTCCAAGCCCGAATGGCAGCTGCTCACGTTAGCGTGCGAGCCACCGAGCTGCACGCCCCCCGCTGGAAAGAAATATGACGACAAACAAACAAAACGCATTCCGTAAAAACGACCAACATTCTTGTCTTGTTAGACTGAGAAATGATTGACGTGATCGGTGTCGTCACAAAGCCGATGGTCATAAATAATGTCATTTGAGCAGATTTCTATTCCTTCGCGCGTGTTTGGCCTTTCCAAAGTATCCAAGTAGCAGCTTCCGATTTTGAGAGGTCGGTAACCTTCTAATTCTCACCCCCCTTGTCATCCTCTAGAATTGTTGTACTTCTTTGTTGGGGGACGAGGGGGGGGGGTTCATTGATATGTCCTGGATTAGCCCTAAATGTGATATTTTTTTTTTCTTGTAGAGGGGCAATTTTAATCCATTTTGGAGCAAAGGTTCAACATGACAAAATGCTCTCTCCTTGTCATAGATCACAGATTCTGCCAGTCATTTGCTGTACAGCAAGGATGACGCCACCAAAGGAAAGTTTGCATTCACCACGGAGGACTATGAAATGTTTGAGGTGTGCTTTGAGAGCAAGTCCCCCATGGGTAAGTTCCATCCGGTTCGACAAAATACTAACTTTGAGAATGTGAGAACGCTGGTATTTATTTGTTGCCTTGATGTCAAGGAACCGGAAGAGTGCCAGACCAGTTGGTCAACCTGGACATGAAGCACGGCGTGGAGGCCAAGAACTATGAGGAGGTACACTTGATCCGTCTTTGTGGGGGGGGATAAAATCAATAAAAACTACACCTAATGACAGCTCGTAGCTGCTTTCGTACCAGTGCACTTTATCCTAAGCTTAAGGAGCAACACTGCGGACAGGACACATCTTACCTAACCACCATACTGTGCGTTCTCACACCGCACGTGATCAAAAACATGCAGCGAGAATGCTGGGACTTGTCCCCCGGCTCTCACACGTTGTGCAAGGGGATTGGCTTGGAAGCCCATTCAGCCTTTGACGATGACATATTTTAGGAAGACCAACGTATTACTCGGGATAAGTTGCGTGATGGGTTGCAATGCAATAAGTGTGCAAAAGCGCTCTGCTTTCCTGCCACCTCAACGATCTCGTCAGCGTGGGTTTGACCAATTTGTCAAAACTATCTCGTGTTATATTTAGTCTGGAACTGATTTTCTTCCTATTGGGGAAATATATTGTAGAGCTCCTTAATTCTTTGGGCAATCCGATCATTGGAAGGATTTATTTTGAGTCCGAGCCTTCATTAGGCCTACCAAGACTGACACCTCCTGGATGAACTGTGTAATAACTAACATTCGCTTGACTGCCTATCGTGCGTGCGTTGGCTTGTGCTATGTGAGTCCAGATTGCCAAGGTGGAGAAGCTGAAGCCCCTGGAAGTGGAATTGCGGAGACTGGAGGACCTCTCAGAGTCCATCGTGAATGACTTTGCTTACATGAAGAAGCGCGAGGAGGAGATGAGGGATACCAATGGTAAATTCATCACTTTTTAACGTAGTGATTCCCAACCCGGGTGTCATGAGACATGCTATGATAGGGCAGACTCTTCGATGAAGAGGATAAAATCTAGATGCTAGAAATGCTGGCGAAGCTTTTGCCTCTCGTGCTTTCTCTGACGCTTTTGTAAGGTGGCGCGCCTTGAGAGTTTCCTCATGTCAAATACGTCCCTTGGCTCAATCATGGTTTGAAAAGATTGCGGCTGCGCAATAAGCATAACGGTCGGAGCTTGTAAATGAGACGTTGACCAGCCTGCACTGCCTGCCTCCCAACAGAGTCCACCAACACGCGCGTGCTCTACTTCAGCGTCTTTTCCATGTGCTGCCTGATCGGGCTGGCCACGTGGCAGGTATTCTACCTGCGCCGCTTCTTCAAGGCCAAGAAGTTGATTGAATAGAAGAGCCAGCATTGGTCATCGTCCGGCTTGGCTGCCAATGTCCGAACATCCATCCTCCTTGGACGGCAAGGGAAGTTTTAGGAGGTGGTGGTGGTGGTGGTGGGGGGGAGGGTCTCAAATTCTATTTTTTCACAGATGCCAGACAAAAACAATGGTCTGTCAACATGCGTACTTTTTTTTTTTTTTTTTAAACAACCAGGCCGGATTTATTTTGCAGTTCGTAACATGATAAGCGCTGTTAGGGAGAGATGCGCCACGTGTCTGTCTGCACTGTTTCAATTGTTCCGGCTGCCCACCAACGAAGCACTCGTTTTTGTTTGGAGAGCACGTGCGGTGAGAATGTTGCCGAGGAGACCCTCCAAATCAAGTGAAGGCTATTTGAAGGTGTGCTTTTGTTTTATGTCGTCATTCTTCTGTGTTTGCTTGCTACATTTGCTTCCATGTTTGTCATGAGGTTTGTTTGTTTGCTTTCATCCTGTTAATGCTCCCCCTAATCATACGGATTTGTTTCTTTTTTGGGGACAGTGGGTTTGTCACTGTAACATTGTTCTCATTATATATATATATCTATTAGGTTTCCATGTTTGAACTATTGCATCTTGTGATTCAGTCCTCGTCTAAAATGGCCAACAACTCGCATTAGAGAGCAGCATTTGTAAAATAGCCTGCATGGAGGAGTCAGTTGAACCACCCGGTTTGTACACCAAACCTGTTCTCCTAAATGGAGCAGTTGACATCAACAAGTCACGCTTGCCATTTTCTTGTCCTTGCACAGCCACCCAATTTATTTTAGATTATTGCCTCTCTTGAGTGAATCTTCAGAGGTGCGGTTACATGGGCTTATGAGGGTTTGGTTCGAAACTGGTGAAAGTTAATCGTGAAGGCATCTGTCATGGGGATTTTTTTTCTTAAGGAGCGACCATGTGCATTGTGCATTTTTATGTTGAGTGATGCATTTTGTAATTTTGCGTTGGGCTTTTATTCAATAAAATCGGATGGGTTGACTCGATTTGCTGCGTGGACTGCATCCAAACCCATCTGACGTGTCTTGGCTCCATTAAATGCGTCATCACAAATGGTTGAGTACCGTACGCTTGGGAAATACTGGAAAAACGGCATTGGCGTAATATATGAACGCTCCTACTGAAACGCTTGTTGAAAAAGAGATGACACCAAATCGGTTTCAGTAAATGTGAAAAATCGATCACAAATTGAGCTTTCCCCAATTACCCGTTGTGTGTATTTCGCGGAAGAATCGTACCTTTTGCTTGCACGTCGTTTACGAATGGGTCACAACTCGCAAGTCAAAAAGGCCATCCGAAATGTCAAAAATCACCTTTAATAAGACGAAACTTAACGTATGGTTAGAAGCTGATCGGTCCCTGAACGCATCGTACTCGCCAACCCTCCGTCAAAATGACGCTGCCTGTAGCAAGATATCAGCCTATCAGAGAGCGTCGTTGTCACCACGACCCGGATGTACTCTCGTAACACTTCCTGGTTTGTCGTGGCAGTCTGACCACCGCGCGACTAACTCACCAGATAACTTACTATTTGTGTCTGTGTGTGTATTGCCACGATGCCGGGCGGTGATAAAGAATCGGACCTGACCGAGCGAGTCGAAGCCTTTTTGTCCGACTTGAAGCGAGGCGGGAGCGGCACCGGACCTCTCCGGGGCTCGGCGGAGACAGCCCGAGAAACGACCTCCTTGCTCCGAAGGATCACGTCGCAGGCTCGCTGGAGCAGCGCAGGTGCCACACGCTCCATACGGGAGGCAGCCGTCTTCTGCGATCATGTTTCGAAGAGCGCTTTTTGTATGACGTTGACTCGATTTGTTGCGCACTCCGACGCACAGGTGTAACAAGGACAAGCCTCTGTCACCAAGGGCAGATGGATAATTACAATATTCTTTTCTCATCCAAGTATACACGAAGAGCTCTCTTGACATTTGCATTTGGCTGCCAAGAGGCCCACCGTTTTATGCGGTGTGGAGATTTTCGGTGACGAGAGAAGATGAGGATTGAAATCCGCGCTGACCACGATGAGAGATAACAAAAATGTGAATCTCGCCAGCGCGCGTCGGCTGAGAGACCAAGTTGGAATGTCAACAAACAACTGCGGTTTTTGAATAGCTAGTCTTTTACTTACTTACGAATGGCGTCCTCTTTCACTCTCGTCTCTCTCCACATCTTGGCTGTGGCATCGAAGGCAATTTAGATTGGACCTGGCAATAAAGGAAAGAAGATGCTGCCAACTCACAAACGCCTCTTTGAATTGTTGTTCCTATTATATGAATGGAAATGGATAGTTGGGTGATTCTGAATGTTATGCTTCCCATTGACAGGAGCATAACTTGGTGTTTATTGTATTTTGAACATCTCAGGCGACCTCATGGAAATCATCCGGAAGGAGGGCAGACGGATGGCGGCTGCCCAACCATCAGAGACCACCGTTGGGAACATAATCAGACGTGTGCTCAAGATTATCAGAGAGGAGTATGCCAGGTGAGTCACCTGGAAGATTTGGGAAAATGACTCTTTAATGGCTTGTCTGCAGTTAAATGGGCCTCCGGGGTGCATGGCCAGCCAGTATAAAAAAACAAATACTAACAACCAAGTCAGTTTTTTTTTTTTTTTTTTCGCTGCCTATTTTTGAAGTGTGTCCATTTTGACAACACAATTCAGGTAATTTGCATGAGAACCATGATACACGTAAAATATCTCCTATCAATGTTTAGATTTTCTTATAATTCCCTCAAGGGAGTGGGAGGGGATTCAATTTTGACTCTGGTTTGGGTCTGCAGGTCCCGGGGCAGCAGCGAGGAGCTGGACCAGCAGGAATCTCTGCACAAGCTGCTGACAACGGGAGCGCTCAGCGAAGAGAACTTCCGGCTGCATTTTGCTCCCCTCAAAGCCAACGTCATCGAGGCCATCAACGAGCTGATGACGGAGCTGGGTCAGTCACTTCGAGTTTTCCGCCTGGTCGTGCGCACTCGTTCCTGTTGCTCGAAGGCAAACTGACGATCGTGCCGTGTTTTTATGGTTCAGTTAAAGAAAAGAAAAGAAAATGGGACGCTATCGAGAACCAGAAAGCCGCTAGTTGAGCAGCAATGACTCAAACCTTGTACGGTTCGATGTGCTTTTAAAGGTTTTCAGAAAATGAAGGTCACCGGCAAAGTCGAAAATACATTTAAGGTTCGACCTGAAATTTGCCGAAAAGCCCCAAATTGCTAACTTGGTTCTTCCAGACGGGACGACGGACAACATCTCCATGCAAGCGCTGGAGCACATCCACTCCAACGAGGTCATCATGACCATCGGCCGCTCTCGCACGGTGGAGGCCTTCCTCAAGGACGCCGCTCGCAAACGCAAGTTCCACGTCATCGTCGCCGAGTGTGCGCCCTTCTGCCAAGTAAGTGACACGGCCGAAGAAAGAAACAAAAAAGACAATGACACCGTAGAGGTATCATCAGAATCAGAATCTCTCTTGGCCAAGTATGTAGAACACACAAGGAATTTGTCTCCAGTAGTACAGGCTACACTAGTATCATTGTGAACAAGGACGTGACAAATAAGTATGGAAAGACATTCCGTAGTGGGAGGGGTATGCAACTACTTCCAGTTTGTTTTGTGGATCTAATTGTACTCCATCTGCCACGTTTTGCCTTTCCGTCAGGGACACAAAATGGCCACCAGTCTGTCAGAAGCCGGCATCGAAACGACGGTGATCGCGGATGCCGCCATATTTGCGGTCATCTCCCGCGTCAATAAGGTAAGCAGAAGACGACGGGCGACTTTTTGGGACGCGGTAAGCGGCAGGGCAAGGCGTTGCTTTCCGCCTGACAGGTGATCGTCGGGACGCAGACGGTCCTCGCCAACGGAGGCCTGCGGGCCGTCAACGGGACGCACACGCTTGCCCTGGCGGCCAAGCACCACTCCACGCCGCTCATCGTCTGCACGCCCATGTTCAAGCTCTCGCCGCAGGTGACCGGGCGACACTTTTTCGCCGCTACCTCCAGCTCTTGAAATGACGCTGACCGTCACAATTATTGCAGTTCCCCAATGAGGAGAACACCTTCCATAAGTTTGTGTCGCCCCATGAGGTGCTTCCATTCACCGAAGGTAAAATCGCCTCTCGTACATCTCACCGCTCGACACTTGCGCACACACTAATGACGTGACGTGGCGTGCTCAGCGAGCACGGAAAATGAACCTCGCCTAAGCGGTCGATTGAGCAACCAACGTTGACAGTGACCAATGTGCGTCTCAGGCGTGATCCTGTCCAGGGTGAATGTGCACTGTCCTGTGTTCGACTACGTCCCGCCGGAGCTCATCACGCTCTTCATCTCCAACTTCGGCGGACACGCGCCCTCGTACATCTACCGCCTCATGAGCGAGCTCTACCACCCAGAGGATCACGAATTGTAACCGCTCAAGTGAAGGTGTGGGAGGAGGGGGGGGAGAAAGAAGACATAAAACAAATGACCTGTTTGTGTTGTTTTTGTCGAGGCGCGTTTCAATGTGTGGGCTGTCGCTGTTGGATCGAAGAACCTTTCATGGCATTGATTTGAAAAACTCTCAAAATGATACCATATTCTTATTGATAATGAATTTAAATGACATTTCAGACGAGTGTGTAAATATCTCGTTTCATTTGCGTTTCCGCGGTTTCTCGGGGGAAAAAACGAGACATTTCAAACTTGATATAGTCACAACAAAAGCGTTAGCGGATCCTCACTTGGATCAGCAGCATTTTTATTCTTGTGTTTTTTGATTTTGACTAATAAGAGATAATCACGTCCAATGCACGAATCAGTTGGGGGCGCTGGGGGGGCTGATGTTGCGGGGCTGGTCGACCAGGGGTGCTGGTGTACCGCTAGTCGCTGCTCAGGCGGAAAAAAACGTCCGATCGGCAGTCGTGGGTATGAAAACAAACAAACAAAAAGCACACCACTTCTCCGCTTCCACGACAGTATGTCATTTCTGCACATGGCACTCGAAGAACAACCACTTCCACCTGTCACAGTCGCCGCCTTTTATTCTCACTCGCAGGAAGCCTGAACTCGAGGAATTCGTGGACCAACAAGTCTTGTTATTTATTTGTGGTCTTGACGACACTGGCTTCTCGCGCGAGCTAAGCACCGCCCCTCCCACGGCGTAAGCACCGCCCGCCCGGTCGCAGTCAACAGCGCCGCAGTCGATTTTCTCCTTCGTCGGCTAAGCGAGCGGCAGCTAACTATGATTCGCCACATTCGTTGACCGAAAACGAGTCGCTCGACCGACTTCGCCATCCGTCAGCTTTTTTTTTTTTTGGTTGGTTGCGCTTCTCCGTCGACGGCGACAACCGACGCCGAGCCAAAGCGGCGAGGGCGGCGACATCTCGCCGCAGCTGGAGGCAACTAGCGCGGTTAGCATCTCGGCCGGGCGACGCTAGCTTGGCCGAATGGATGACAGTTGGCTCGCCTAAACAACTGCGTCTCACGCATCGACTCCACCGGGCAATGATTCGTCTATGACAGCGAAGACCGGTGAGTAAATTCCAGCCTCCTTTCAATATCCTCGTCATACCGCAGTCGCGTATTTGGAGGCGTTTTCTGGCAGAGCTCGACGGCAGCAGCTGTCCGGGAGCCACGCCTGGGCCCATTTCAAGCCATTTGTTGACATCGCTGCTTGCTGCCGCAGCTGCGCATCGCGCCGCTGTCACGTTCATATCCGCGCGTTGTGTTTCAGAGAGGGCCGCTCGGTTCCGTGTGACCGCACGTTATCTCGGGCAAGGTGGGGGCATCGCGGACTTGCTTCTTGCCACTTTGGCCGATCCCAATCCGGACCCGCCAGCATGATGCCGGTAAGGTGTGACCTCATTGCTTGCCCGTGCATGAAAAGCCGTCGGAGCTTTGAACCCCCAACCTCGACAAGTTGACGCTCCAGCTCCAATGTTTGGCCTCACTAGTCGAGCGCACCAGGAGAAGCGCCGTGTTCCGCAGACAAATTTCGGAGGTGGTGGAGCGTAGCCGTCTTTTGATTCATTTGTCTTTTAAAAGCCATTGTTTTCACTCCTTGAAACACTCCTTTCCAGCTTGCTTCATCGGTGCAGGATGTCCTCGCTGCACGACAGTCCTGGCAGAGAATGTTTTGAGGTTGCGAAGTCGTTAGCGCAGCGGCCAAGAATTCTTGGTCACTCTTGGCCTTACCGTCTTTCCATTTGTGTGTTTTTCAGGTCAATATTTGCAGTATCTATGACTTCGGCGAAAATCAACCCTGAAAGGGTCTTTCCAATAATAAGCGTCACGCAGCCCAACGAATTGAGACGCGGCGTTTGGACGAACGTTGCGTATTTGGAACATGAGTTGAGCAGTAAAAATCTACTCTTTTCTGAAGCCGACGCACGATTGGTCGTGAGATGAGCCCTGAGGCACCGTGATGTTATTTTCAGTCGATGGCGAGTCCCAGGCAAAATGAATCGGAGTAGCGTGTTTCGATGAGTGGAGGTGCACAGAGCATACAGAACAACGTTTCAAGAAATAGACCAGGGCGTGTTCCGAAATCAGCGATGCCGACGGAGGAAAGGAACTTTTCCGACCCCAAAAGTGGAGACGTCAAGCTTTGACTTTGAGGCGAATATTTTTTGCTCTTGTGACACCTCAAAGAAAACGGGGGGGAAAAGGGTTGTTGATGGCACAATAACTCGCGTGTGGCTGCGCTAGTGGTCACTTTGGTTTCCAAAACTTGAATTTCAGATCCGAAAAAGCGTCTTTGACCGATATAATCGCTATACATTCCGCTTGACAAACACCAAGGTGCGCTTCATGGTTGTGACTGACAGATGCAGGCTAGGGCCCCGATCGAAAGTCTTTTGGGAATCTTGAGTGATTTGAAAAGCCGCCGTTTGGCCAGGGCGGCGTTCCACGTACTTTGGCCCTTCACCTCGTACCGACCGCACAGCCCGACAGGGGCACCTACGAAGGGCCTTTGAATTCCGTCATCGGCCAAGATGGCGCGACGATGATTTACGCGTTGTCCGCCTTGTCGCAAAAAAGGCCGGAGGCTCTCCGGCGGTACCCCTCCGCGTGAAGCGGAAGCTTGCGCGTTGCCGTCGCAGTTCAAACCGCGTATGCCGAAGCCGCCATCATCGTGAACGTGCACCGACACGAGTCGCGAACAGGCCGCAACAAGTCTTGTTGCCGCGCGCGCGTGTGGAACCCTGTCATTGCTATGCGCCGATCTTGGCTGCTCAAATGGGATCTCCCTCTCTTTCTCCAGTTGTGCTTTTAAGTTGGTTTTCCTCTCTGGTTTTTGTTGGACTTTTGAGGAAATCCTCTTTTCGAAAATGATGAACCCAGTTGCCGCCACATTTGGACTGCTTTTGGATGAGCTGCAATGTCCAGCGTCGCCGCTCCTCGGTCGTGTCCAAAAACAATCGATGGACCTCATGTCCTTGTCGCCCCCCCCCCCCCCCACACGATATCGACGCGGTACACCCGCCACCGTCGCCGCTCCTCGGTCGTGTCCAAAAACAATCGATGGACCTCATGTCCTTGTCGCCCCCCCCCCTCCCCAGATGATATTGACGGTGTACCTCAGCGACGGGGAGCAGGCCACGGCGGAGGTACCCGTCACCCCCGAGACCACGTGCCGCGACGTGGTGGAGTTCTGCAAGGAGCCGGGCGAAAGCGGCTGCCACCTGGCTGAGGTCTGGAGAGGCAACGGTAAGAGCGGCCGCCCCCTTTTCGCTCTGCTTTGGCTTGCGTGACAAAAGCTGAGATGCCGGTGCCGGATGGTGGCGGCGAACACGCCGGCGCGGGCGTGCCCGTACTTGACTCTCACCCGGCCTTGAGCTTTCCTGGCTCCTCTATCGTCATGCCACCCTGGTTGCGGCTGCCGGAGGGAAGAAAAATCTCCCAATTAAACACCGGTCAAAGAAGGGAGTTGGGCCGACCCCCCCCCCACATCTGAAAGGGATTACGTGCCGCACCGGTCCACAGCGCTGTCGCAACGCATTCCTCGCAAACAATGCGTTTCGCCGGACGCATCGGGGTGATGTCAGCGTTTTATCTCTGCCCCCAACCGCCGCGGGGCCACTCCTCCGCTTGAGAGCCAAATGGGGGCTTCAGTCGGCGTCGGGCTGGTGCCTGATTAAGCGCGTCTAACCCCTTGGCCTCGCGTGTGCCGTCACGGTGGAGAAAAGAAGCCGATGGTAGACGTGCTCCTTGTCAGCAAAGCCATTTCTCGTGCGCCGATTGCTCGTTGGCTGCGATAAGCTGAGCCCAGCGAATCGGGCCCTCGCGCCACCGCGCCCTGGCGATTGGGATTTGGAACCGAGCCGTCGTCTTTTGCCGCCACTCATGTGTGCAAAGCGTTGAATCATTAAGGTCCGTGCTCGCTCCCGGTCCTCGCCATTTGGGCGCACGAGTAGATCAGCTCCGGCGGCGGAAGTGATGGCAAACCCGCAGCTTGACTTTCCCCCAACGCGTTTCCTGCGTCTGCAGAGCGAGCCATCCCCTTTGAGCACATGATGTACGAACATCTGCAGAAATGGGGCCCCCGCAAGCAGGAGGTCAAGTTCTTCCTGCGGCACGAAGATTCCCCGACTGAGAGCGGCGATCAGGGTAAGTGAAATCAGAGAAATCAGCGTCTCGGCCCGCTTGCATTCTTGCCGACTGGGCACCGATTGACTGCGACTGTGCCCGCCCGCCCGCAGGGAGTCAGCAGTCCCCGGATCAAGCCGGTGGTCGGAGGAGCGGCAACGCCGGAGAGAAGCCCAACGAGAACGGGGTGAGATTCTGGAGATGGCCTTCAAAGCCGCTCGCTTCCCCCCTGACCTGCGGAGAAGCCACCCCGCGCCGCATATTTGCAGGTTTTTCTTGCGCCAAGGCACACACATTTGACATCGGGAGGAAAAATAGGACCTCTCCGATCTTGCGCCTCCAAGAGCAAAACCATTTTTGCAGAGCTGGAATTACGTCCCTCGTGGTTTGCGGTCGGATCGTTTGGGGTGCTTCTCCCGTCGCTGTCGATTTGTCGCCTCAGCGCCTCGTCTGGCCCATCTCTCTCCTGCGGGAGTCCCTCCGAGAGTTCAATGCCTTCGCCGAATCCAGCTCGGCGTTTGCTGGAAGGGCGTTAAAAATGGATTCCATTGCAAACTCATTCACGGCTTTTTTGTTTGTTTGTTTGTTTTGCCCCCCGTCCTCGTTATTTGAGTGGCACTTTGGTCCTTTTGTGTGCAGGTAGGGAACCAGCGCGCAGAGCTGACGCTTTCCGAGCTGCAGGAGATGGCCACCAGGCAGCAGCAGCAGATTGAGGCTCAGCAGCAGATGCTCGTCGCCAAGGTAGCGTCGTTACAGTCTCGAAACGCCGATCGGTGCTTTGTTTTGCGGCCCCGCCATCCTCAAGCCTCGCACTCGGTGTGAGGGAATTCCGCCTGTTTTCCGTTTGCTAGCGCGTCATTCGTTTCTGTTGAAAAGTGACGAAGCGCCGAGGTGAAGACGCCAAATGTCCGGTAAGAGTAAGCCAGGTCGGGTGAAAGCTTTTTCGGAGGCATCATCGCAGCTCGTGGCCTTGTCAATCGGTCGAGCGAGATGAAGCTCGCTGAGAGAAAGCCTCGCCCGCGCTCCTTTGGAAACCCGGGCCTGTCGCTTCCTATTGGAACGCTCGGACGGAGAGATGAAGTCATCCGACCCGCCTTGGCCTCGGCACAAGCCGAGCGTTTCCTCGCGTGTTTTCGCCGAGGCGAGGCGGGGGCAGTTTGACTTGTGTCGTCGCGCCTTTCATCCACGAGGCAGCTCAATGCGCTTCACCCGGCCGGCCGAGACGCTTAACGACATTCGGAAGCAAAATGGAGAAAACCAAAAATGACGAGGATGAACTTGGACAACATTGAAAGACAGAAAACTCGTCATCCGGTATACGGGTGCCGCCTGGACTGTAAAAACGGCCACGTGAAGCCGCAGATTTTTGCGACGGCCCGAAAAACACGTGGGGGGGGGGGGCGAGTGAACCGCAACAGAGAGGCGAACGCCGTGCTGCGTCTCGGGCCATATATGCACACGAGCGTTGTTGTTTGCAAGATCAGGTACCCGTCGGCGCATTCCAGTCATCATATTCGGCGCCCCGTGTTGGCTTTTTTTTTTTTTTGGGTCTCCCCGCTGAAGGAGCAGCGTCTGCGCTACCTCAAACAGCAGGAGCGGCGTCAGCAGCAGACGGCCACCGAGAGCGAGAAGCTGCAGCGGCTGAAGGAGCGCGTGGAGAGCCAGGAAGCCAAGCTCAAGAAGATCCGGGCCATGCGGGGCCAGGTGGACTACAGCAAGGTCATCAACGGCAACCTGTGTACGTATCGCTTCAGACTCCAGACAGGAAGTTGCCTACAAACAAAAGGGCCCTTTAATTCCAGCGGCAAACGCGATGGACATTGGAACGTTTTTTCTTTTTTTTCCCGTCCAGCGGCAGAGATTGAGCAGGTGAGTGGCCTGTTCCAGGAGAAGCAGGCCGAGCTGCAGGCGGCCGTGCTGCGGGTGGAGCAGCTCAACTTGCAGCTGGAGGACCTGCGCCGGGGCAAGCTCAACGGTGTCCCGACCGCGCCGGGCGGCCAAGTGACCGGCGCCGCCGCCCTGGAGCTGCGGAAGCTTTACCAGGAGCTCCAAGTACCGCACGGCACACACGGCGCGCGGCATCGAGCCGAGACGCGGATGCTCGCGCGAAACCATATAAAGGGACTCCGTGCATTTTTCGCGGCTCGAGCTTTGCCCACCCTAAAACGGATTTTTAAAAAGGGACGACGCATCGCTTGCGGGCTATATCGGTCAAAAGTGATATGATAAGGTGCTTATTTAAGGGTCCTTTGACAGATGGTAGCCCCCCACACACACACACACACACACACACACACTGATGTGTCATGCTGAAGAAGGTGGCGGTGGCAATTTGCCAAAAGTAGAAGAAGAAATCCAATTAGTCGTCACAGTAGCGAACTTTTGCACTCGCTTCGGCCACTACGCGGGCACAATAACTGATCAGGAATCGACTTTTTGCCACCATGCGACGTGGTGAGGTCAGCCTTTTTAAACGACCAAGGAAAAACGTTGATGTCGTTAGTTTTGAATCCGACCGCAAGTCGCGAGCAGGGAAGAAGGGGGGCGTTGTTTGGGGCTTTCACGTTTCAATCCGTACAAGGTGCACCCCGAGTAGAAGTTGCGGGACCAGACGAGAGAAGTCGGCTCGCGTCGTGCGAACGTGAAAACAGGCAAAAGGGCCATCAACGCCGCCGTGTCGCCGTCTCTTCTCAGATCCGCAACAAACTGAACCTGGAGCAGAACAGCAAGCTGCAGCAGCAGAAGGAGCTCCTCAACAAGCGCAACATGGAGGTGACGCTCATGGACAAGCGCATCAGCGAGCTGCGGGAGCGCCTCTACAAGAAAAAAGCTGAGGCACGTCAAAAAGAGAACCTCCCTGTAAGGCTAGAAAAGCGCTCGACACCTCTAAAAAATAAAAATAAAAAAACTCTCGGGCAGAATTCCGCCGGAACGCCCCCGTTTGGCGAATTGGCGCGTCTGCGTTAGAGGACAGCTTTCCGTGTGATTCATGTCCCGTGTACGTCGCCCCCCCCCCTCCGACACCTCAGCA